TCCTATTGAGTACTATAATTTGACAAAAAAAAATTTAATTATTATTTATATAATACATTAAAATGTCATCTAAATTTATATATTAAAAAATAAAAAAATTAAATTAAATCTATTAAAAACAAAAGAAGTAAATTATATTTTATAATTTAATATATAAAAAATAAAAAATCAAGACTATCAGACAATTCTACCGTTCTGCAATCCCTTTAATATCCTCTTCTTATTTATAATAAAAGAAAATTTTAAGATGTACATTTAATATAAAAGTTTAAGAGTACAATTAATATATTTTTAATTAATTTATTAAAAAATTTAATTATTAATTTTAAATTAATTAATTAAAATTATTTACAGAATAATAATATTTAAAAATATTAATTTTTATAAATTGTTTATATAAATTAATTAAAAAACATATATTTATTATATTTTTAATTTATCCATTTAAGATAATAAGGTAGACAAACCAATCGTCAAATGAGCATTCAAAGAACTTTTTCAAAGGAAAATTAAAAAAGAAGACGAGGTTGACAGTTGCAGAGAAACTGACAAACATTGAAGCGTTGGGCGCGCCTTGGACACCAATGACAGCACGTGAGGAAGGAAAGCGCGTGAGTCAATGACTCCCTGATATACAAAAAAGTCCTTCGCTTGCTCTCTTCCACTGACATTACCCAGGCAGGCACTGTTCCTGTGACGGTGAAAGAGAGAGACTTGGGAACTCTGAGCGCAACCAAGCTCCTTACAATCCACCAAACCAAACCTTCCTTCCTCAACACCTTCTTTGGAGGGTTTCCTGCTGTTTTCTTCTTCAGTTTAGATCAAGTTTGAGCTAAAATACCACCAAGACAACGGACTGCGGAGGTAGCCTTCCTTGAGGTAAAACCCAAGTTTGTTTTTGATTTTTCACGAATCATTTCTGTTTCACCATGCATTCTTCTTCAGTGTTGGTTTCTTCTTTGAAAATTTTCATTTTTTTTTATGAAAGTTGAGATTTTTATGTTTGACAGTGCCTGTTCTGTTTCAGGAGTTGTCAATTTCATTCTGGGTTTCTGGTTAGTTTGTGTTTGTAATGGTGTCTTCTTCTGCCTCTTTTTTCCAGGGAATCTCATTTTCTGGTCAGGTCTTCTTGGAAATGAAAAATGTAGGACTGTGTCTCGACTGCAAGTTCTATGTGCTCTGCTCTGTGTTTTTCAGCTTAACTTTGTTTTGATCCATAGATTTCCTTTTGTCTAAACCCTTTCTGAATTCTCAGAATTTTTTTTTTCTCTAAATCATTACTGCCTTTTGTACCCAGGTGGGGTAAACTTCTTATTTTATAGAAAAAAAAGAAAAGAAAAAAAAGAAAGAGGAGAATGAAAGGAAATTACCTTCAGTGATCACTTTGTGAAACTATCATTTTCTTCATGTTGATTTATTCCCGTTGTGTTCCTAACTTTATGCAGTGCTTCACCCTTTGATGAGTTTGTGTGCTTCACCATTTTTATTATATGAAGGGATCCTCCTGGTCGGTTCAGTGTCTTTCTTTTCTTTTTGCCCTTTTCCTCTTCAAATTAACAAACGAAATTTGAGGAAGAAAAGTCTCAGATTTTTTCTGGATGTCATGGAAAGTGAAGGAGTTTTGGCTTAAATTTTACAGCAGAAAGTTGAAACAAGAGGTTGGCATAGGCCCAGTTATATATCTTGTCATGGATTTAATTCTTCAAATTTCTATTTCCAGATTATGTTTGAAGTAAGCAAAGCAGCCCTATTTGGGCTACTACTTTTATATTTTTTCACTTTTTTGTTTCTGGTTGTCCCTGTGGCTTTATTAATGCTTTTTGGATCACAGTTTGTGTGGGAAAGAGAGAAAAAAAAAAGAAAGTTGGGGATTGATGTTTTGATAATTAATGAATTCATTTGATGGCAACCTTTTCCTTTTCCTCTTCCCTTTTTTTTTTTTTTTTTGACCTTTTTAAATTTTATCATTTGGTTCTGGTTGGTGGTAGTGGGAGTGGTTTATGTGGATTTCTTTGAAGGATTGTATTGTTTGTTTGTTAGTTAAGTTTTTGCAAATTGCTTAAATATGGATCTGCTTTATGTCTATTTGGTTGTTCTCTGCACATTTTCTATATTAGATTCTTCCTCACGCTGCTTCTCCACTTAAGGTTTCTCTGAAATACTGCAGGTGGCGTGGGTCAGGTGGGTTTTTGAGGTAGAGATTATATAGTTTGCCACTTTGCCCTTTAACCACTTTCTGAGAAAGAGAATATAAAAGACAATGCAGACATCGAAAGCAAGGTAAGATTGTTAATTGCTTTTGCAGCATTTTGATCAATTGTTCCATTTAGAGTTATTGACAGTATTGTTCTTCATGGTTAATGCTATGCAAGGTAAGATTGTTAATTTCTTTTGCAGCATTCTTATCAGTTCTTCCATTTAGAGTTATTGAGTATTGTTCTTCATGGTTAGTGCTATTTTCTTTAACTTGTGTACCATGTACAGTTTTGAGTAATATTTCATCTGATATCACTAAATGATTATTTCATTCCATACCTTTATTTTCCCTTTCTGTATTTCAAAAGTTTACGTTAATTTTAGGGTTTATTTAGTAACATGTTTTAAGAGTTTGGTATGATCACTACGCTGGACACCCTGGAAAAGTTTAGTTTGGGGAAACCAGACTGATGTTAGTTGTGAATAACTGAATTGCATTTTTAATAAATTTTAAGTATTTGTATTCATTTTGTTTAAGGCCATTTCCCAGCAAATCTTTGATTGCTTCCTATCAAAGGCTTAATCATGTTAAGCTAATGCATGCTGATACAGATCTAGATCGGATCTTGCTTCCAGCAGTGCTAATGGGTTCACTTGATCTGTATGTTTCTTGATAGAACCATTGTTTCTGGATTTTGCTAAAACTTGATGTCACCATCCAGAGAGTCAATATAAATATTTAAATTAATGTATGGAAAGCTAAATTTCGAGGTAGGGGTTGAAATGACCCTAGAGAAGTTGGTTCACATTGTCCTTGTGCTGATAAAAGAAAAAAAAAAAATTAGTTAGTTCACAATAACTTAACACATGTTTCAAATGTGCTGCTACATTATCCTTGTGGTGGGTGATTGCAGAACTGAAGGTGATTACTAGTTTATGAAGGTCTGACCCACCAAAAGCCTTTGTGATTTAAACCTACAGACAAGTAAAGCAGACGCTTCATCTGCAATCACTCTATATTGAAAGAACATTTTAATTTCTGAAAGTAGAAATATCATTGGAGCATTTCTTCATTTTAAGCTGGAAGCTTTAGTCTTCTTGGGTCTTTGCTTATGATGTTTTCTTCCTATGATTGACACAGCAGAACCTCTTTGGAAGTGCCTCAGAAGAAATCTCCTGGAACCCCTCGAACTGCTCGCCAATTGAAGTCACCAAAAAATGATTCTGATGCAGTTTCGTCTCCAAGTCCTCCTAGTAAGACATCAAAAGATCAAAGTCCTAAGGTTGTTGAACGCAGATCCCCAAGCTCAGCATCAGAGGTATAGTGCTGTCATTTCATTCCTGAATTAACTGATTCTAACAAAAAATTAATCTGGGGAAGATCTCATTGTGGTTGCCAATATCATGGACAATGCAGCTGATATGAATGGATATAAACCTACATTTTTTCTCTTTAGGGTGCTTTATAAATTTTCTTCTGTGAATTCATCTAATTTTGAATGTTAGATGTTGATCACTTGCCTGTCCACTGTCTTGACTTGTCGGTTCTAGAAGAAGCGCCTAAGTAGAGTGTCTGAATTGGAAACACAGCTTGCTCAACTTCAAGGGGATCTAAAGAAGGCAAAGGACCAACTGAATGCTTCTGAGTCATGCAAGAGGGAGGCCCAGCAGGAGGCTGAGGAGGCTAAGAAGCAGCTTTCAGCCATGTCAGCCAAGCTTGAAGAATCTGAAGAGCAGCTTATGGAGATTTCTGCTTCTGAGGATTCTCGGATTTTAGAGCTCCGTAAAATCTCACAAGATCGAGATAGAGCATGGCAATCTGAACTTGAGGCTGTCCAGAAGCAGCACTTGATGGATTCTGCTCACTTAGCTTCGGCCATGAATGAAATACAGAAGCTGAAAGTTCAGATGGAAAAGGCATATGAATCTGAAGCTGTTCAAGCCAAGCATGCTGAATCTGCATATGCTGAGATTCAGAACTTGAGGACAGAACTTTCTGAAACTATCTCCCTGGTTGAAAAAATGAAGTCTGAAATCACTGATTTCAGAGAATCTGAAGCCAGAGCTCTTGATATTTTGAGTGAAACCCAAATGCGATTGGCTACTGAAAGTGCCACTGTGGAAATGCTGCGTTCTGAAGGTGCCAAAGCCACAGAGGCTTACAAATCATTATCATTGGAGTTGGAGCAGTCAAAAACTCGAGTTAGATCATTGGAAGGACTTGTGAGCAAGCTCCAAGCTGAAATAGTTGGCAGCAGTGGCAAAACTTCTGAGGACCCCAAAGATGATCCTAAGCTATCACAGCAGAAAGAAGCAAATGATGAAATAACCCAGCTCAAGAGTGAGCTTCACTATGCAAAACTTGAAGCTAATCAATTGAGATCCTCACTAGATGCAGCTGAGGTCAGGTACCAAGAAGAATACGTTCGGAGCACATTGCAGATTAGAAGTGCTTATGAACAAGTTGAACGCATGAAAACGGAATCATGTGAGAGAGAGGCAGGACTGGAGGCTGAACTAAAGAAAACCAAAGCTTTTGTAGAAGAGTTGAGCGCAAACCTAATGGATAAGGAAACTGAGCTGCAGGGTATTTCGGAGGAAAATGAGGGGCTAAATTTGAAAATGGAGAAAAACCAACTCTATGAAAGAGAATCTAAACTTCAGAAGGAGCTGATGGAGCTAGAGGCAAACTTGGCAGAATTGAAAGTGAATTTATCACATAAGGAGACAGAACTGAAGAGTGTAACGGAGCAAAATGAAAAGCTCAAGATGGAAATCGAAAAGAAGGAAATGGAGAATGGTAAAGTCAATGATGAGGCCACTGCATTAGCAGAAGCAGGAAAGGCTGCAGAGCAAGAAGCTTTAATGAAACTTGGCCATTTGACTGAGGAGGCTGACAAGAGTAGCAGAAGAGCTGCACGAGTGACTGAAGAGCTTGATGCTGCTCAGGCAGCAAATACAGAATTGGAGACTGAGTTGAGAAGACTAAAGGTGCAAGCAGACCAGTGGAGAAAGGCTGCCGAGGCAGCTGCTGCTATACTTTCTACAGGAAACAATGGTAAATATGCAGAGAGAACTGTGTCTCTTGACAGCAACTGCAGCCCCATAACTGGCAACGTAGGTTCACCTTGCTCAGAAGACATGGACGATGACTCACCCAAGAAGAAGAATGGCAACATGTTGAAAAAGATAGGTGTGTTATGGAAGAAGGGCCAGAAATAGATGGTAAATTCAGTAGGTTGCATCAATTCCCTCTCAAAAATAATACTTCTGATGGTTTTTCATTCCAAGTAACTCTCCATCCTATTCTTGTACTGTTTAAAATGGAATTTGTGTGGGAGGATTGCCTGGCTAATGTGTTCCTACAGCATCTTGTAATCTTGTATGAGTACAAAAATTATCATTTCTGTTTCTATATATATGCCCTTGTGATCTTAATAATCTTTGTAGCTATCACTTTCTTAACACCAGCTCTTGCTTAAAGAACACATAATATTCTCGAGTAGCAATAATAGACTCATTATATGATGAATCATTAGACTTAAGATATATTATTTCAGCCATTAGCAATTAGTTCGAGTGGCCCAATTTCGATGCCCAAAAGGCTTCCTCATCCCACAGCCAAGTGTTCAAACTTGATCT